AAATTTTTTTATAATTTCGTTATATTATATTATTGTGGCCATCTTCCTTTATTGTATTTATGGTTATTTATTTAAAATTGGTTTTATAGTTGAATTTCTAAATTTTTCGTTAAGACTTTAGTTTAAACTTATTTTTATTTGAAATAAATTTGTAGTTTATTTTATTTTAATTTAAGTTGATTTAATTTAACTCTATTTAATTTAATTTAAGTGATTTAGTCAAATGCATATATATATTTCCACGCGTTAGCCTAAGTCTATTTTATATATGTAACCATGTACATGCATATACATATGAATGTACATGCAGGTATACAGGCATTTACATATATGTATACCCCAATGTCGTAAACAGGGTGTGATTGACAACTCAGGTAGGCTCTCTTTTAAGATACTATTATGCAAAAACAAATATGAACAAGCGATTCAAAATTCATAACAAAATTTCAATTTGACGTTATAGCATGGTTCTTCTGAGAGCCATGTTAAATTCAATCACACTTTGTTAATACATTTCGGTCCTACTTCTAATTTCTTAAAACTATGGTTCTTGGGGGTTTACCCCTTTTTTCTTTTTGCTTTAACTAGATTAAGTTTACTTTCTAACCTTGTGTTTTTTTTTATTTTATTTTTGTATTTTTTTTATTGAAAAAAAAACTTTAGTTTAGGCCCGAAGGACTCACCCTTGGTGCAGCAGGCTTGGGTGTGGCCTGCTGTTGTTGTAGTCGCTGGTGTTGCGCGCTGTTGTTGCTGGGGTTGCGCACTGTTGTTGCTGGTGTTGCGCACTGTTGTTGGTGGTGTTGCGCGCTGTTGTTGTGTGTTAAGCGCTGCTGCTGTTAGCGTTGTTATTACTGGGGTTGCGCAGCGCTATAGTAGCCGCGCTGGTTGGTGGCGTTGTTGAGGTGGCCGCGCTTTTGGCGGTTAAGACCATACTCTGGCGGTGCTTCCGCTGTTGCGGGGCGGTTGGTGCGGCCGCGCTCTTGGCGGTGTTGCTGCTGTGCGTTAGCCACACTATTGTTGTTGTTGGTGTTGTTGCGCGCTCGTTACGACCGCTGCTATGGCGGTTGTTGTTGTCCCCGCTGCTGTGGCGGTTGTTGATACTGCCGCGCGTGATGTGGCCGCTGCTATGGCGGCGTCGTCGCGCGTTGGGACCGCTGCTATGGCGGCGCGTTGTTGCACCCGCTACTGTGGCGGATGTTGTTGCCTGCGCGCGTTGTTGCTTTAGTTGCGCTGTGCTGCTTCCATAGAGCGTGTTACGGGCGCAAAGAAAGAAAAAGATGTTGCAGTAGAAGCAGCACCTGCCGCTGAATATGGTAGTGCTGACAGTGCATCCGCCAAAGAAAACGGTGACGCTGCCGAAGTAGCTGCTGAATCTACAACTCAAACACCAAAAGAAGCATCTGCTGAGGCTGAAGCTGAAGCTGCTGCTCCCGCCGAAGAAAATGGCAAAGATGATGAAGCGGAGAGCGAAGAAACTGATTCAGCACCCGCAGAAGCTGTTAAGAGAAAAGTCGCCGAAGCCGAAGCCGATTCTAAGCCAGAAGAATCCACTACAGCACCACCAGAGAAAAAAGCCAAGCTGGACGAACCAGTTAAAGAAGACAACCAAAATGGTTCCGAGGCAGCAGAAGTTGCGGCTTAATTTAGATCTTAATATAACACTTAAACTATTCTACATATTCAGTAACAAAAAAAACAGAGAAGTGTACACCCATAGAATTTTATGTGTATGATTTTATGAAAGTGTGTTCAGTTTTTTTTTTTTGCGAGGTTGACAAAACTTACATAATATGCAATCTGCAACGACTATACTTTTACTGTTGACATCTAAAGAAAAGATAAGGTTTGCATTTTATTTTAAATATTGAAGGCAAACCAATATCTTTCTTACCATGAAAAAGGCTAAACCTGTACATTCAAACAAATATTCAGTAAATTACTCGACTTGAGGTCGAGTCAAAGCTAGTCGCGCGATCTTGTTATACTCGCGCTGTGCTGCTGTTACGCGATGCTGTTGCCTTCGCGCGTGATGTGACCGCTGCTATGGCGGCGTCGTCGCGCGGTGTTAATTTAATTAGTATATAGTATATAATGTATAATACCAAGTAATATAATATAAGGTACACTGAGAAAAGAGTTTAGTGACGTCAACTAAATATGTGTTGTTCAACAATTAGTTACAATTACATGATTTGGTTATTGTTACCAAATGACGTGTTGAGAAAAAATTATTTCGATGCCTTTTCCTCTGAGTGTATATACCGGTGTTCATATGGAACAGCAGCCCTCATCGGGGAGCCGGCCTTAGTACAGTGCGGCATTCCCTTTTTCTTTAAACGCCGAGGAATTTTTGATGGGACTTAATAAGCATATAGTCCATATGCTAGCATCGGAACATTTCTTGCACGTTTATTGGCCGAAAGTTCTTCAACGCCTCGCTCCAGTGAGTCATTCGCAATCGTAAGCTGCAATCGCCGCACTACACCAAAGTCAACCTTTCGACACAAGCCACTACTCCACACAAACACAGATATATATAAGGAGTCATATATGATCCAGGTTATGAGACAGCACTTTGTGCCGATAACAATCAATAATGATTCGAAATTTATATTTAAACGTGTTGATACCAAAATTGAAAATAATTAAGAAAACATCAAATATATGTGCATACAAAATTAAGCTGCATCTGCTTCTATTAAAAGTATATAAGTATGTATGTTAGAATGCCCCATACGGCTCCAAGGAGTCCGAATGTAGTCATGTATAAGGCCAGTAAGAGTCCAGTGTGACTCATATTGAGGCATGAACCTAAGCTCATATAAGTCAAACTTCGGAGGAAGGAAAACAACTCTATGAGCTCATTATGAGCGTAAAGGTTCCGAAATATGACCCCTTAATACTCATTTATGACTCCCAATGGTTGCTGGAATAATGGACTTACCTTGTTCGCGGCTGAGGATACTTCTGCTGGTTGTCCCTCGGAGAGATCGGGTTCTGTAACGGGCGCCCGTTGGTTATAGGCTGGATGATGTTGGGCCCTTGCAGTGGGGTTCTGTTCTTTTTCTTTTTCGGCTTTTTTTTTTCACTGCACCACACCTGGGGTTTCTTCTCCTTTCCCCCTTTTTTATCACGAGGCTCTACTTTANTGATGAGACTTAATAAGCATATAGTCCATATGCTAGCATCGGAACATTTCTTGCACGTTTATTGGCCGAAAGTTCTTCAACGCCCCGCTCCAGTGAGTCATTCGCAATCGTAAGCTGCAAACGCCGCATTACACCAAAATCAACCTTTCGTTACAAGCCACTACTCCACACAAACACAGATATATATAAGGAGTCATATATGATCCAGGTTATGAGACAGCACTTTGTGCCGATAACAATCAATAATGATTCGAAATTTATATTTAAACGTGTTGATACCAAAATTGAAAATAATTAAGAAAACATCAAATATATGTGCATACAAAATTAAGCTGCATCTGCTTCTATTAAAAGTATATAAGTATGTATGTTAGAATGCCCCATACGGCTCCAAGGAGTCCGAATGTAGTCATGTATAAGGCCAGTAAGAGTCCAGTGTGACTCATATTGAGGCATGAACCTAAGGTCATATAAGTCAACCTTCGGAGCAAGGAAAACAACTCTATCAGCTCATTATGAGCGTAAAGGTTCCGAAATATGACCACTTAATACTCATTTATGACTCCCAATGGTTGCTGGAATAATGGACTTACCTTGTTCGCGGCTGAGGATACTTCTGCTGGTTGTCCCTCGGAGAGATCGGGTTCTGTAACGGGCGCCCGTTGGTTATAGGCTGGATGATGTTGGGCCCTTGCAGTGGGGTTCTGTTCTTTTTCTTTTTCGGCTTTTTTTTTTCACTGCACCACACCTGGGGTTTCTTCTCCTTTCCCCCTTTTTTATCACGAGGCTCTACTTTATTTTTTATTTTAAATCGTTTGTGTGAAATTTTTCTTTGAGTTTTCACTTTTAATCAGTACATTTAATGTCCATTGCAGAATTCATTTTCTCATCCGTTCCATGCGTTCAGCTAAATTTCGAACTGTCAATTGAGCCCATGCGGGGTTGCCAGCGGGAATATTCCATTTGGAAGAATAACGAGCACTGCGTCATTTGGACTAGTTTCGTTACTCTTCCAAATGGAATTTGCCGCAGTGCAAGGAGGAATACAAAAAAAATCCGGGGTTGCCGTGACTCCTTTGCAAGTATTTTTCCCACTTAACCGCAAAAAAACCTCTGAAAATTTGCTAGTTTACATCTAGAAACCTAATACCAAGCATTTTTAATAGAAAACGCTCATCTTATGGCGCGTGCCTATTGACAGAAGAGCAAATTTTGACGGATCAGAATAAAAATTTGACATTTCTCATCAGAACTTCGCCTAGCTCATGGGTCTAGGTAAAATTTGACAGCTTCTGATTGTGTATACACCTAATATTGTGGGCGGTAATAAAAAGTCAAAATCAAAATGCAAGCTGATAAAAAACCACAGAAAACGTACATTACTTGCAACACGCAAAATAGAGCTTTCGTACGAGCGTGTTTGGTTTGTTTCACAGGCCGTATGTCAAAATATGGATAGGGTTGCCGCCCGAAAGTTTTCGTGCAAAGGAAAGCTTAGCTGTCAAACTACCAAGACCCCGCAGTAGATGCCAGAATACAACCCTGATATACATTGCTCTCTATATTTTCACATTTGTGTCAAGATATATCTCAATCCTGTGAGGACGGCAGCTACAGGTAGCTGTCACAAACTATCACCAGCCTCGGCGGGGAAGCGTTTATCAACCGAGAAAAGTAGGCGAACAGACCTGCAGGAACTAGTGACAATCAGCGACACTGTCCGCAAGGAACACAGCTATCGCAAAATGGCAGACCTTCCATGCAGTTTCGGTGTTGCCTTACGCTCTGGAAAAATAATTAGCTGGTGAAATTTATGGCACGCTACCGGGTGCGCTATACGCCGAAGAATAAAGTATTTATATTTTGTGCGGCGAACAGTAACCCATAACAACATTGACACTGCTTGCAGAGATACCGTAATCAAAAATCCAGTCAGAAAAAGTGATAAGATTTGGAAATTTGGAATTCTTTAAACAAACTTAATTAAATGTACCCCAATTCAACTGAAGAGTTGGTGGTAGTTTTTCTATTACTTCTTGCAGGAGAGAAGAGTTTTCTAGTTCATTACGTAGGCCGGAAGATTCTATTGTAGCTCGTAAGCCTTTTACATTGACGGCGAAGGTTGTAAGAGTATCCAAATTATTTTGATTAACTGATGGCATTGCTTTTATCTTACCTTTTATGGTGCTGATGATTTTCTCGGGCTGGCCAAATAGAATTTTCAACGTTTCTATAGAATCGGGGACACATGCTGGATGTATTCAAATTTGTTGGACGGCATTGTACGCATCTCCTTTTAAAGACTTTTGAAGTCGAATTAAGTTTTCAGCATCATTCAAGCCGCAAACTGTGGTTGACCGGTCATACGTTGCGCTGAAAATAGGCCATTCCTCTGGTCGCCCGGAAAACGTTGGCACTTCTCGTGGAACTGAGTGTCGTGTGTTTGTCTGTTGCAAAGTCAAATTGTTCTGGGTGTTATTATTAGACTGTGGTTTCGGCCAGTTGTGGGAACCCAACGTTTGACACTCGCGGTGGAGACAAGAAGTTCTGCGGTCCTATTAGTGAAGAAGGAATATTTGACATCGTGGAGTTAAATTTTGAAGTGTTGAAGGCAAAGTTGACGCGACCGTTAATTGTCGATGGGTTTTTTTGTGTTTTATCTTTCCCGGGAAATGGGCATTGCATATGTCGAGGTAAGGTGTCAGCACGTGGCTGATTTATTGACGCTGGACATGTGCGCCGAGCGTAGTTCGTTGCTGTCACGTTTGGAATGCAAGTAGCCTGCGTATTATCTATCTGAGGTTGGGCTTGCGAAGTATTGTTTCCGATGTGCACATTTCGAGAATTAGGATTTTGTGAGGTTATGTTGCCATGTTGAGTTTGGTCATTTGGCTTCTCATCTGCCGTGGACGCAATTGCAGCACAACAATCGATAGGATCATCTGGTGGAGCTATTAATGAGTCCACCCATTCTTGCACTACAGATGATTTTTCTGAGCACGACCCTTCATTCGGTTCCTCTGTGGTATTTTCCAGCACCTTATACTTCTTGGCTAAGAAGTCTAGTTTTATTTGTTGTTCTTCTGCGAGTCTTTGCAGCTCTGGTGACCTTCGATAGGCCTGTGTCTTTGTGGAGACACTAGAAGCGTGACTTAAATGGCTTTTACTCGAGGCAGTTGTGTGGCTAGACGGTTGTCCCTGGGAGTTAGTATGGCTCATTTTGTACTTACTGCGAGGTAAAGCGCAATGAATGGGATTTTGTATTTAAGGTATTGAGTGCAGTTGGTTTCCGGCACCAGGTTAGTCCGGAAAAAGGTCCGATTGTGGTGTTGGATTAAAAAAGAATTTTAATAAATGTTAGCAGAGAGATTTACTCTGCGCTGAGTCCGCAAATCTTCGTCGATTTTAAACTCCCAAAACAAGCAATTTGTAGAAATCCAAGAATGTTTTATTTCACAAATGCAGACAGTTATAAGAGAGTTAAAATTCCTAAATGGAATTACAAATTCACTTATTAATAGAAAACATAATTTTGGGAATTTCAGTAAAAGTATACATACTTTTATAGTGAACAAAAGGCGGGCAATTTCAACTTAGACTTTAGATTAATTGATCTCAACTCGGACACTGTTGGAATCGCAATAATTAACCTTAAAAATATACATGTGGTTGCTACTTTGCAAACGCGTCTAAATTCGCGTAAGTATACGTATAAAGTTATATGCGTGTAGTAGGTATATACGAATTAGATAACTTCAGTGTTGAATAACTGTTAAAACTAGGTGTTGGACAAGTGGCGGTAACATCTATCAATTGGCACAAGACCAATCTGAAGTCTTGTTTCTAAAATTTCCGATTTGAGTGAATAAATTAAAGTATCTCTTTCGGGTTTTTTGGAAGTACATTTCTAAGATACTACGGGTCGATGGAGGTGCAGCGTCGGCTGCATTCCAGTGATGCCTCTAAAAAACCTTAATTCTCCCGTTACAGTTTTTTTTGTAGATAAAAACACTGTTTTCCTTTAAATTGATAAAAAAAGTAATCTGGCAACGCTATCCCGAGGTACAATTTACCTGCTGTACATGGGTAGATACGGATGAACATATACCTACTTATGTATATATGTATACCCAGTGGGAAAATGGGAACGCATTACCTTTTTCTACCAAGAAAAGATTAACAACTACGGTTGTACGAATAGATACATGCAATGTAATCGAGCGGATGATATTATGTAGTTTTGAAGCCACAAACACAACAAAAAGATTGAGAACTAACTCAAGTATGTTTTTTTTTTCAAGTTACCTCAACAGCCCTGCAGGGAAAGCTATTATTTGAGAACTAGAATTCTACCAGTTTGCGTTTCAGCCGAACTAGTTCCCGTTCTATCCTTTTTCAATGTTAGCAATGTAGCAATGTGGTATTTTTAACATTACGATGTCCTACGAGATGTCAATTGTCAGGATATGCAGCAGCACCTACTAGTAGAAATACTAGTAGCATTATTCCAGTTGATGAGACAGTCTTCCAATTAATCCAAGCATAAGTATGCCTTTTTGCTCGCAGCGCTCCAGCAATCGCAATGGCCGACAGCAAAGCATTCGCGTGGTATGCCTGAGGGCCCAGGTTCAAGTCCTCGCACAGGGAAATTTATTTTTTATTTTATTTATTTATTTTTTTATTTTAATAATTTTTTTTGTTTAGGGTTTTTATTGTAACTTTTAAATTTAATAAAAAAAATATTTTTGTTTAATTTCTTTTTTTTTTATGGCACAAGTATTTCTTCCCATATGTAGTGCAATGCAATTAGAATTTCAAATTTGTTACTTATGTATAAACTGAAATAATTATTTTTACTTACATTGATTTAACTTTAAACATCTTAACCACCTCCAAGCGGCCTCTATCCTACGATTTCAGAACCAGAACAAGTAGTCTTCACGCCGACATTTGAAAGAAAAGCAATTAATTGCGTTGAATGAAACCTTGAAACAAAATAAATATTAAACCGGCTGATTGTCAACGCGCGCAAAAAAAAGAAATGATTGGCCATATTTTTGCTTCGCGCTGCAACTAAAACGATCTATGAGACATGCTTTATGCATTTTCATACATTTCATCTTATCTGTCAAAGCGAATCTGTCACGCAACGCGAAGAAAAAGTTTTATCTGACATCGCCTTTAACATTTATTGCATGAAACTTGTAAGGAATACAAGTCGAATGGCACAACCCTTATTTTACACCTGATTTCGCCGTATTGATGTCACTGGGAATAAGGTTTAACTTTTTCTCTCTCACAGAGAATAAAAAAAAATATAAAAGTTTAATTAAATTTTGTGGTCCGTCTGATGAGAATTGAACCCGGATAGTCTTGGCAGCAACCGATTGTATGAAGCATCTTTGCACACTCAGCTACAGCCATACATGTAGTACATGTGCTTTCAAATGTTCAGTTTGAATCAACACCAAATTTCGCTGTGTTGATGTCATAATTTCATTTTCTCTATCTGAGAGACCCTTATGCCTAAGCCTTATATGTCATATAAAAAAAGGCTTAATAATCCCTTACAATAAGGCATCACTTGGAGTATATTTACCTTATATAAGCCTTATATATCATGTAAAATAAACGCTGCAAACAGCGCCTCCAACGAATTCCTTATTTCTTACAACTTATATAATTTTTGGTGGGTATGTGTGTACGTACATATGTATGCAGGTACTCGTATGCATGCGCGTTCTTTTCTCCCCTTCTCTATACTATATCTTCCTTCTTATTCATGTAACATTTTCAGTTTTAAAAATTTCACTAAAATTTACAAATTTTTGCGATACCGCCGCCTAAGAAGTTTTACTTCAAAAAATTGTTCAGTAGCACCAATTCTTGCAACCGAAAAAATTGAATAGCATTTTATCCCGCCGGCAAGTCCTATTCAGTTTTTACTCTCACTTCCGAGAGTAATTTTCTGTTTGACATTTTTACAGGATTTTAAACGCAAAGTATTGGATCAGAGCTTATAGGAAACCGCATAAAGCGAACGGTACATTAGCGCGAATCTGACGTTGCGAATTTTCTGAGCCAAAACCTACAACAATGCTCCCTATATATTTTAATGAGCTAGCGCATACTTGCATGCTTCCTACTAAGGCATCCAATCCCGGACCTTTTTGTGAATCCCGGGAATTCGGGATCTTAAATTGGTAATCCAGGGATCCCGGGATATTTCGGGATATTACTACCATTAATTAAAATATGCTAACAAACTATTTTGTAGTCTTCCTTTAGTGTGAATATGTACCAGAAATAAAAATAAATTTTTGTTTCTAAGCAAAGAAATATAAATATCTTTATTTTATATCAGTTTAAAAAGCTAAATACAAACTGAATTAACTAAAAACTATGGAATTGAAATTCATTCATATTGCAGACGCAGTCATTTTTACAAAAAGTCTTTACACGTACATATAGTATTTATACATATACATATATGTGTAGTAATATTAAATAGTATGCCACAACATATGTATATATACAAGTCGGACGGATTTCGTTAAAAACAATGATGTCATGTCTCCGATTCGCTTAAAATTTTTTTATGGGTTCTACATGTACATGAAACAAGCGTATTCGAGGAAGTTTTTTTCTGTCAAAGTTGACATTTTTTCGTGTTTCTGACCATTCATGTACTTCTTCAAATCGTATATCTCGGGCTCTACTCATCGTAGAGACTTCGTCTTAACGTCGTTTTGAAGATAAAGAAACGGGCTTTCTGATGGTTATGATTGTCCCAAAGTAAACTTAGCTATTAACAGTTGAAATTTTTTAAGTTGATTTGCATAGCAAAGAGCAGTAAATTTGGGATTTAAAATTACACCATCCTAATCCTTAATTCTCTATAAAAAAAACATGTTCCAAAAAACTGGGAGTTTTTAAGACCTATTTTTAAAATATTTTGTTTTTATGACGAGGTGTTTTTTTTTGTGAGAGCCAACAATTAAGTCTCTACGAAGAACAGAACCCGACATATAACAATTTGAAGAAGGGCATGATTATTTAGTCAGATTCACGAAAAAATCCAAAATTTGACAGGTCATATATCTGACGAAAAAAATAAAAATTGAAGCCAATCGAAATTCTGACAACAAATTGGGGGGACTCCCGGGATTCGGGATCTCGAATGCCGGTACTAGATGCCTTACTTCCCACACTGTGAATTTTTCGAGCATTCAATGTTCTTCTCTTCGAACGCATTCGAAACGCGGAGTACAGCGTTTAGAAGGCGGCAAAGAAGAGTGTCATAGCAATAAATTTAAAGAAAAAAGTTTAATGTGCAAAAACTAATAGAAAAGCTCATTTGTCCTATTTTATATGATATGCTATGTACAAGAAAATAACAAAAAAGGCAAATTAAGCGAAGCGCACATAAGCGTGATTTTATCGTAGCGAATTCGGCTGTTAACTTCGAATCCGCAAACGAGCGCATATTTACGCGAATTTCGATATACAACTCACTTAATTTGCCTTTTTTTCTTATATTTTTGTGTCCATATCCTATCAAAAAGGAGAGTTTTTTATTACACTTATTGCTATACCACTTTTCTTTCTCTTCTTTGATGATTTCAAAGAGCTGCAAGCCGCGTTTCAAATAAGTCGGAAGAGAGGAACGTTGAATATTCGAAAAATTCGCAGAGTCTGGATCGCGCAAGTGTGAGCTAGACATTAAAATATATGTGTAGTATTGTTGTAATTTTTTGCTCTGCGGATTCTACGTCACAATTGTGCTTATGTCGAAATTCGATGGGAAAAATTCGTTCTCAGCGTTGACGTTTTCACTCCGGTAGGAGTGTTTCACTCCTTTTCTAAGCCGAACACTACGTCACTCCCTATCTTGCAAAAACACTCCGATTTTGAGATTATCAGAAATATATAGTTACCATGAAATAAAAATGAATGGCAATACACCTACTAAGATTATAAGTAAGTTATTTGCAATAAAATAATAATTTCGAAATACCTTAATCACTGTTTATAAAACGGTTAAACATTTTTATTCAATGTTGCCTGAATATAAAACGACAATAATATGATCATCGAAAAAGAAAATAATTGGGATTTCGTTTCTTAAAAAAAATGTTGTTGCACGTGCCAAATGTGTTTGATGTTACACTTAACCCTGTAAAAGGGCATGTTTTTGCATTCTTCACCTTATCTAGCTCAGATAGTTCATAATATTGTCGTAATAAGTAACTATTATAGCTTTTAGTCGAATAGAAAGACGAACACGCTTTTTTATGTCTTTATTCTTTAGTCGCTATCACAATATAACCAGTAAACAACCTTCGGTGAATTTAGCGACTGCCTTCCTCGGGGATGAATATGCTAGGGATGAAATTATTGGTACACACGCCTTCAAAGCACGCAGGGTTGCTTTTGAGAAACAAAAAATAATTAGCTCAAAATAGTTTCAAAAAGTATAGTGTAAAACGAAATTTATTGAATAATTCTACATAAAATTATATACGTAAATGACTCACTATGTAAACTATTGGAATACAACTTGTTTCATTACGTTTTTTATGCAAAATGATAATGACTATCTGAATGCTCGGAGCGCTGCCACTAAAATGAGAAACTACAGAAAAAATACTGCTCTGGTGCTACTTGTGCTGTGGTGAATTATTTCTATTTATTTTCTTCTGTTTACGTGAAATACAAGCAGGTAGTAATTTTCATTGAATTTCTTCGAGAATCTGTACATTTTATGCCTTCGTTTTGTAATTCCACGAATTTTATGTGTTAGCAAGATCAAGGGATATGGCGGGCGATATTAAAGAAATGGGCTTTCTGATGGTTATGATTGTCCCAAAGTAAACTTAGCTATTAACAGTTGAAATTTTTTAAGTTGATTTGCATAGCAAAGAGCAGTAAATTTGGGATTTAAAATTACACCATCCTAATCCTTAATTCTCTATAAAAAAAAAACATGTTCCAAAAAACTGGGAGTTTTTAAGACCTATTTTTAAAATATTTTGTTTTTATGACGAGGTGGTTTTTTTTTGTGAGAGCCAACAATTAAGTCTCTACGACGAACAGAACCCGACATATAACAATTTGAAGAAGGGCATGATTATTTAGTCAGATTCACGAAAAAATCCAAAATTTGACAGGTCATATATCTGACGAAAAAAAAAAAATTGAAGCCAATCGAAATTCTGACAACAAATTGGGGGGACTCCCGGGATTCGGGATCTCGAATGCCGGTACTAGATGCCTTACTTCCCACACTGTGAATTTTTCGAGCATTCAATGTTCTTCTCTTCGAACGCATTCGAAACGCGGAGTACAGCGTTTAGAAGGCGGCAAAGAAGAGTGTCATAGCAATAAATTTAAAGAAAAAAGTTTAATGTGCAAAAACTAATAGAAAAGCTCATTTGTCCTATTTTATATGATATGCTATGTACAAGAAAATAACAAAAAAGGCAAATTAAGCGAAGCGCACATAAGCGTGATTTTATCGTAGCGAATTCGGCTGTTAACTTCGAATCCGCAAACGAGCGCATATTTACGCGAATTTCGATATACAACTCACTTAATTTACCTTTTTTTCTTATATTTTTGTGTCCATATCCTATCAAAAAGGAGAGTTTTTTATTACACTTATTGCTATACCACTTTTCTTTCTCTTCTTTGATGATTTCAAAGCGCTGCAAGCCGCGTTTCAAATAAGTCGGAAGAGAGGAACGTTGAATATTCGAAAAATTCGCAGAGTCTGGATCGCGCAAGTGTGAGCTAGACATTAAAATATATGTGTAGTATTGTTGTAATTTTTTGCTCTGCGGATTCTACGTCACAATTGTGCTTATGTCGAAATTCGATGGGAAAAATTCGTTCTCAGCGTTGACGTTTTCACTCCGGTAGGAGTGTTTCACTCCTTTTCTAAGCCGAACACTACGTCACTCCCTATCTTGCAAAAACACTCCGATTTTGAGATTATCAGAAATATATAGTTACCATGAAATAAAAATGAATGGCAATACACCTACTAAGATTATAAGTAAGTTATTTGCAATAAAATAATAATTTCGAAATACCTTAATCACTGTTTATAAAACGGTTAAACATTTTTATTCAATGTTGCCTGAATATAAAACGACAATAATATGATCATCGAAAAAGAAAATAATTGGGATTTCGTTTCTTAAAAAAAATGTTGTTGCACGTGCCAAATGTGTTTGATGTTACACTTAACCCTGTAAAAGGGCATGTTTTTGCATTCTTCACCTTATCTAGCTCAGATAGTTCATAATATTGTCGTAATAAGTAACTATTATAGCTTTTAGTCGAATAGAAAGACGAACACGCTTTTTTATGTCTTTATTCTTTAGTCGCTATCACAATATAACCAGTAAACAACCTTCGGTGAATTTAGCGACTGCCTTCCTCGGGGATGAATATGCTAGGGATGAAATTATTGGTACACACGCCTTCAAAGCACGCAGGGTTGCTTTTGAGAAACAAAAAATAATTAGCTCAAAATAGTTTCAAAAAGTATAGTGTAAAACGAAATTTATTGAATAATTCTACATAAAATTATATACGTAAATGACTCACTATGTAAACTATTGGAATACAACTTGTTTCATTACGTTTTTTATGCAAAATGATAATGACTATCTGAATGCTCGGAGCGCTGCCACTAAAATGAGAAACTACAGAAAAAATACTGCTCTGGTGCTACTTGTGCTGTGGTGAATTATTTCTATTTATTTTCTTCTGTTTACGTGAAATACAAGCAGGTAGTAATTTTCATTGAATTTCTTCGAGAATCTGTACATTTTATGCCTTCGTTTTGTAATTCCACGAATTTTATGTGTTAGCAAGATCAAGGGATATGGCGGGCGATATTAAAGAAATGGGCTTTCTGATGGTTATGATTGTCCCAAAGTANCAAAATGATAATGACTATCTGAATGCTCGGAGCGCTGCCACTAAAATGAGAAACTACAGAAAAAATACTGCTCTGGTGCTACTTGTGCTGTGGTGAATTATTTCTATTTATTTTCTTCTGTTTACGTGAAATACAAGCAGGTAGTAATTTTCATTGAATTTCTTCGAGAATCTGTACATTTTATGCCTTTGTTTTGTAATTCCACGAATTTTATGTATTAGCAAGATCAAGGGATATGGCGGAGGAATGGTTTTTAAACATCTTGGCGATGGGCTGTTTACCTGCTGGATACTTGCAATCTCATTCGCAAAAGGTATGTATGTATACGAAATATTTCTTGTTGAGTGAATTTTAAACTAAAGGAATTAACTACTTTTATGTAATTATTGTAGATATGACACGCACACTGCCACTTTAAGGTATTTCTTTTCTGAGGAATCATGTAGCAAAACGAAGAGGAGCCGTGCAAAATTTCGGGCAGCTGTTTCTTGCAAGTTCATGGGTACGAAGGTCGCTGAGGGTCAATGGCAGCCTTTTGGATAAATTAAACCGAAATTTCTGCAACATGAATTAACATGAATCAATGTTATTAGTGTACGGTGATGACCATGATGTGAAATTAGGTTGGCTAGGATTCCAACAAAGATATGATGAAAAACACCCTCATCGAATACGATATAACTTTATTGGTTGGCAATCCACGTTGCTGTGAACCAACGAAATTCGGCGATTCAGGTGCCCTTGCAGGAAATATGGTTAAGCATTGATTGCGACATATGTACGAATGTGCGCTTAATAATATTTTATAATGATACTATCGAGAGAAAAACAAACGTTTTCTTAAATCAGCTTTAAGTTACAATTTCCTACTCAATAAAAAAGAAATATTGTGGTTAAAGAAATGCAGTTTATTTTTTTTTTGTATTTTCCACACCATCACTGAGGTATACAATCAGGCGCGTTACCGATTTTTTAAGGTGGTCAGTTCCCCATGAGGGCTATTATAACCTTTTAAACTAAATACATAATTAAAGTTATATATAAATAAAAAGTAAGGCATGCAAAATCAAAAATTCATATATTTGTATGTATATACGTGGTAAGAGTTTATTAAAACTAGTAAAATTAAATAAAATTTGTACTTTAAAAAATAAAAAAATCACATTTTCTTTTATATTTACATATGTACATATACAAGATAAATTTTCTACGCACCGACAGGGGTATTTGGAAGCGTTATCTTTAAACACATTGCAAAATCGTTGGAGTTTGCGAAATTGTATTAAACATTAGGAGTATATTTGCAAATGGAAAAGACCTATATATGTGAAATGCATAGAAACTTTGTATGATTGAAATTGGGTGAGGAAGCCTCCTTTGTAAAAATTTTTAACGAAAAGTATATTCGTATTCTAATAAAAAGATGTTTCACATCATCGGGGTTTGAATTTCGACAACATTGGAATGACTCTATGTGACACATTTTATCAAACAAGGCTTTTGAAAATCCAATTAAATGACAACAAGAGTCAAAATATTCATTTAAAACTTCATCAAGTTTTGTGATATAATTGATAAAATCAGATGGGGGTTTGACTAAGTTTGACCTATCATATTCCTTCTCTTTTGTAAATGTGAAGGCATCTTCAGGAATTTCACCTTCTTCAAAATGTGGCAAAGGTGTCAAACAATTATGCAGCTTATAGTATTCGAAGTAAATATAGCCGCAAAAATAGGCAAACGAATTTCGTTGAAGGAAGTCACTTTCAACTATATCTATTTCAATATTATTTCTAATATCGTCAATATGAGGCTTGGGTAAACTTTGAAAAGTTTGCCAAGAAGTATCCTGGACCAGAGGATCATTGCAGACTCTCTCTAGGGTACTAAATGAAAAAAGCTCCCATTCAGCAGTAGCCAATGGTTCGCAGTTACCTCTAGTGACAAATTTAACATGTCTGAGACCCCATGATTGGCGGAAAAGGTCTGCAAACATGCATGGCGTGGTTCTTGGGTTCAGTCCTCCTCCTCTTCTTATCTGCCCGAAATAGTGTTCGATTTCATCTTGACAAAGTTTTCTAGTTAGAATGTATTCAAACCCCTTATGTGACAAAACACGCCACAATCGTCGCAAACTTTGAATATTTAGAAGCCAGCCTTTAATAAAAGAAAAGTTGTTGGTGATAACTCGACCGGATAAATCATGTACAGTAATTGAACGTGTTTTCGTAAGGTTCCAAGACCTTTACTATTAAAAATGTTAAAAAGTTGGTCGAAAAACAAAGCAAATTCTGCGGTATTTAAAAAGCTAGGGGAGAGGGAAGAATTAAGGTTGCCTGTGCTGTACAATGAAAACATTGCGCTAGCAACTGTGTTACTCAATATTTGAGCAGCTAGTCTTACACTCATTTTTTCAAAGCTTGTGGGCCTAAGATGCGACGATGTTAATTTAGGGGCACATCGTATACCGCGATGTGAATCCTGTTCGTGAAAATGGACAATATCGCTCCATTTAACAGGATGTCCACGGAAATGTACATTGTTTTTACTATTTTGAATACAATTTCGCGAACTCTTCAACAAATGGGGAGAATCATAGAAAAACGCAATTTCCTCACCATTTACTTTAAAATAAGGTCTATCTTCAGTTACACCAATTTCCTCCGCGAATTTAATGAAATTTGAACCTTGGTCACAAAAAAATTGGCATGTGTGAAGACCTATTCCTNAACAAATTGGCATGTGTGAAGACCTATTCCCTGCAGATGTGCTATTACCTCAAAAACGTACTTTTTTAAAATATCTCCTTTGCACGAGCCGTGCACGAAAAAATAAGCAATTGGCTGAGACCAAGACTCACCACCGATCCCTTGGGCCATCATAGCAAGAACACTGTTTGCTATTCTAGAGGTGCGATTTTCGTCGCCATAGTCCTCCAGTCCTATTACATAATCCCTATGCCTGTCACATTTCAAATGAGTCTTTAATGACATTTCGTCACAACATATGGAAATAAACATCTGTTCACGAGTGAAGCCTCTGCTTCGCAACTCTAGAGACTTAATACTGCTAAACGAGCAACCTGGGTTTCGTGGCCAACCTCTAATAAATTTCGATGTATTTGTGGAAGCCCAATGGAAAAGAGGCCTCAAATATTTGTAAGCTAAGTAATTTGAACTCCTAAAGCCACGGTTTTTAAACTCCTGTCGAAACGGCGACCAGAAGGATCGCGGCTATAATTTTTAATACATTTCCTCACGCAAATGGCAAGATGTGCAGGCAAATTTCTGAAGACCTCTTCAATATTTCTATTATTCTGCTGCTGAGGCAAATTTTGTGTTTGCGATATTAGTATTCTAATCCTTTGCTCTTTTTCTAATACACTTTGTTTTAGTACTTCTATCTCTCCTGTGGCTTTGTTTAAATCTTCTTGGTATTTTATCTTTCTGGGAGAATTTTCACTAAGATACTCATCTGTTTGTGTCCCCTGATCGCAAACTATAAATAACCTTTCATTACTGAAAGAACAAGAAGGTTGTTCCAAAGGATTATTGTGAATATTCTCTAAGGAATTTTCTACTTCGATTTGTGAAATACAATTCCCCCCATTACCATCTTCGGGTGATACTTGAATTATTTCGTTTGAAAGTATGGGATTAAAGTTTTCGGGTGATAATTGGATTATTTGTCTACTCATGCCAGTTTGTGTGACTAAGTTAACCGTTTCTGTACTTATATCATTTTCTGAAACAAAATCTTCTGTAGGTGCGCATAAATTTAAGTCGGGAATAGCACCCTTTGATAATCNTTATATCATTTTCTGAAAAAAACTCTTCTGTAGGTGCGCATAAATTTAAGTCGGGAACAGCACCCTTTGATAATCGCAGACTGTTGCGAAAACGTGCAGAAAAGTGCCTCCCACAAGCGTAGAGTGATTTGACTGCTGTGTCACTTGGGACTCCCAGAAGCCGCATCCACTCCACTCGCCTAAGAATAAATAAAAAGCATTAGTATACTGTTTCAGTATTGTTACGTAATAAAAACAACTTCAAAAAATATATACATAAATTTCCCCACTAGGCGAAAAACAAAACAACAAACTCTAACGAAATAAAAACAAGCAATAAACCCAACAAAGAAAACCAACATCTTCCCTTTTTCTTCGTTCGCAAAGTATAAAAATCAAAATTATTAATAAAATGTTTAATCTCAAACATATCTTAAGTAAATAATTAACCTTTTAAGCAATTATAACGTACGCCATGACATTATAAAAACGTACGTTTCATAAAGTCCATGAATTTTATATTTAAAGATCTTAGATCCTTATGACTTACATATTCACAAAAACTTCTGACCACCGAAATATGGTCTAATTTAGTACAAAGCCCAAACAACGTACGTGACAAATTTAATATGAACTTAGGCAAACTGCAGAGATTTGAAAACAAACTTCCAAGGAACAAAGCCTTCACTATCTTAACTTAT